GCAATTCCCCTAAGGAATTTACACTCCATTAGAGGAGTTAGAACGTAACACTAAGAAGAAAGCAGTTGGTGAGAGACAAGGAATGCAAACAGCTATGGTCTTTGAAGGAGAAATCCTTGCAATCAGGTGAAGAAACAGCCTCAGGTGATGTTAATATCTACTTGAGAGTTTGACTGAAAGTGAAAAGGGAGCCAGAAGGACCTTTTTAGAGAGGATTCAGAGAAGAAAGCAGAAGACGTGTCCAGACCAGTGGCTCTGGTGGGGAGTAGTAAAATATGAGCTTTGGAAGTCATGTAGGGCTGAACTGTAAAAGCTTTGAGGGACCAGGGGAAGGGCTTCTCCGGTAGGCAACAACGGGTCAATGCAAGAGTTTAATTAAGCTCAGGAGGAGCACGACTTAGGCAGTCATTTAGGGAGTTTGATCTAGCAGCCTTGTGGAGAATAGATTTAAAAAAAGAAAGAGGAAAGGCAGAAAAACAAGATTTTTGTGCTAAACCAGGGGAAAAAAATGACAACCAAACTCATGGGGTGACACTGGATATAAGAAAAAGATCCATGTACGAGATACATAGCAGAGGTAGAAATGGCATAGCTTGGCTGTTGACTAAACGTGGGAGATGAAAGAGCTGGAGTGAGAGATGGCTCCAACTTTTTACGCCTGGATGACAGGGGAAACAGAAGTGAAGCAATCTGAGGCATGAGGCCTGAGAAAAGACCATTGCAGCACAATCTTTGAACAGAGCAGTTTCAGTTGAACGACTGGCAGAAACTAGTTGCTAAGCACTGAGGAATGAGTGGGTGGTGAGAAAGTAGAGGAAGAGAGTGGACCGTGACGCTCTGAAGAAGCTGGGGGGAAAGGGTGAGACGGCAGGGAAGATCGCTAGATTCAAAGAAAGGGGCTTTGGGACTGGGGGACACCATTGCACAATTTAGTCATGAAAAACGGGTTCAGTAATGATAATTATTTATTGAGTATTTAGTACCTTATCAAGTGCACATTATCTCATGTTCTCAAAACAATAGTTTGAAATAGGCAAAGCAACTATTATCCTAAACTTATAGGGAGATCACAAAAGTAGCAAGCAACAGAGCTGGGACTAACTCTTTCTGCTACATAATGCCACAAATAAAGTGAGAGACTATGGATGCCGGGGAGAACCAATTTCTTGGAAGGGCTAATAATGTCTGGGTGGAAGGAAATGGGCTGAAGCACCCAGAGGGAAAGGAAGTGAGAACATTCCTCAGAGACAAGTGCACAGGAGGCTGGAAAGGTAAAAATGCAAAGCTACTTTGAGTGGCAAAGGAGGAAGTTGTAACAAAAGTCAGCCAGCTTTGAACTTCTTAGTAAATGATGTAACTATTGGACCTAAAAGTCATTATTCAAACCAAAACCCATAAAGGCTGTGAAATCTTCTTCAGTGGATGGGCATGAAAACAGCTGAGCCTTAAAAAATCATAAAAGATTTGCAGACGTTGCTGAGAGTAATAAAGTGGGGTAGCATGTGATAAATTAAGTCCTGATTTTAATATCAGAGCTGATTTTAATATTGAGTAGAATATTCTTACAAAAAAAGGTTTGATCTCGGGCCGGCCCGGTGGCACACTGGAGAGTGTGCCGCTTGGGAGCACGGTGGCGCTCCCGCCGAGGATTCGGATCCCATGTGGAGACTGGTTCCCACTCACTGGCTGAGTGCGGTGCAGACGCAACACCGAGGGTTGCGATCCCGTTACCGGTCAGTAAAAAAAAGACAAAAAGGAAAAAAAAAAAAAAAAAGGAAAAAAAAAAAAAAAAAGGAAAAAAAAAAAAAAAAAGGAAAAAAAAAAAAAAAAAGGAAAAAAAAAAAAAAAAAGGAAAAAAAAAAAAAAAAAGGTTTGATCTCACCAATAATACAGACACAGGCTTAATCAAGCAGTTGATAAGTAAGGAGAAATTAAAACAATGTTAGTTCAAACATCTCCTTTGTTCCAAACAATTGATGACCTTTGCACTTGAAGTTGTCTTTACTAAAATTACCCCTCTGAAAAGAAGTGTAATGACTCCCAGCTCATTCCATAATTGCTGTAGGACCTCAGGAAAATTAACCTCCCTGAACCTCCATTTCCACATCTTCAAAAAGGAGAAAGAATGCCTATTTACTAAGGAAGGTGTTGGGAGAATTGGAAATGCACAGATGATATCCCTGGTATGTAGTAGTTGCTCAGTAAACAACTATCACTATCTGATCTAACCTGTGGCAAAGCAGAAAGAGCATCACCAGCAAAGCCATGGTAACTGCCTTCCAGTTTAGCTCTGTTACTAAGTGCAAGGCATTTGTCAAGGCATGTCCCATCCCCAGGTGCAGTTCCCTCACTTGTAAAGTGAACAGAATGATTTCTGACATTCTAACTAGCTCTAGAAATTCTGCCTGGTGACCAGAATTTGTATGCAAACTCCTTATGGAGCTACATTATTATATTCCTTTTTGTTGGTGGTTCTGTGAGGTGGTTTGCAGTACAAAGCATATCCCAGGACCATATGACATCTGCTAATCTAGGGCGGGGGAAAAAATCAGGTGAGAAACACCCAAGCAAAGTCTCTTCTCTTCCCTCCAGCCCATGCCACTGACAGATCATCTGTTTTCAATCTATTTATAGTCATCCAAATAGCACATATATTTGATGCAAAACGGAAGGGGTGCAGAAGAGGAAGGCTGAATTCCTATTCCCCATAGGAGACAAAGCAGCCTGGTATCACAGATACCTCATTTGATAAGTCCACATCCTCATTTTAAATCTTTAATGATTATGTAACTTTGAACAAGTTACCTAACTTCTCTGGGCCCTTGTTTCCTCTTCTATAAAATAGAGGCAGTGATTCATCCTTAGGCTACACCATGAGGTTCAAACAAGAAATCGTGTGAAATTTGTTTGTAACCATAATGCAGGTACAAATGTGATAGAGTCCCAACCACCTGTCTTACAGCATATCAACAGCTGCCCTGCTCTGTGCTTCTTTGGCAAGACAAGCAACCTGGATAGACGGTCTTGACTTCCAAGGCCCCTTATCTGACTTAACAGTCAGTAAAGATGAGACCAAAGATGTGTCCCCAAAGAAGGATTTCCAGGGGCACCCAGGAAAGACCCAACAAAATTCACGTAAATGGTTGACATAAGCAAATAAATGCCTTAAGGAGGCACAAGATGAAGATTGATCAGTCTTAACATGATAGAGCTAGAAAGGACCTTGTTAATCACCTTCTCAGTTCAGAAATGGATAAATCATGAATGCTAACAAGTAGCATTTACTACCCTTTTCCTGTGTACTAGCCACATTCACATGTTGTCACTTATTTCTTACTAGATCTCTGTGAGAGAGGTTTTGTTAATCTCATTTTACAGATGGATGAAATAGAAACTAATGTTCAGAAAGGTAAGAAGAACAACAAAAATAGCAACAAAAACAGCTAATATTTATTCAGACATGGGTGCTCTGCACACATTTATTTCTTCAATAATATTTACTAAGGGCCGGCCCGGTGGCGCTCCCACCAAGGGTTTAATAATAATAATAATAATAATAATAATAATAATAATAATAATAATAATAATAATAATAATAATAATAATAATAATAATAATAATAATAATAATAATAATAATAATAATAATAATAATAATAATAATAATAATAATAATAATAATAATAATAATAATAATAATAATAATAATAATAATAATAATAATAATAATAATAATAATAATAATAATAATAATAATAATAATAATAATAATAATAATAATAATAATAATAATAATAATAATAATAATAATAATAATAATAATAATAATAATAATAATAATAATAATAATAATAATAATAATAATAATAATAATAATAATAATAATAATAATAATAATAATAATAATAATAATAATAATAATAATAATAATAATAATAATAATAATATTTACTAAGAAGCTACTAAGTGTATTAAAAAAATAATAATAATAATAATAATAATAATAATAATAATATTTACTAAGAAGCTACTAAGTGTATTAGTATCCAAGTGTTATTTTAGATACTAATCGAGAACAAAATCTCTACTTTGATGGAACTTACACTCTACACAGGGAGAGACAGACAATAAAACAAGTAAATAAGATAATTTCCCCCAATGATAAGTGCCATGAAGCAAATAAAATAAGATGCTATGAGAGAGCAAATCGGAGTATGCACTACAGATTGAGGGTTCAGGGAAAGCTTGTCTAAGGAGCTGACGTTTGAACTACTCCTGAATGAAGACACCAGCCATGGACAGACCATTAGCCCATTTATAGCAACCTATGAGATGAGAATTATTATTAATCCTGAGGCCCAGAGAATTTAAAGAACTTGCCCAAAGTTTCAGAGCAAAATGAATCACTATTTTAACCTAATCAATCTGACTCAGGAGGCCATGGTCTTACATGCAATATAAAGAGAGCTTTCTTCATGTGACTTGCTCAAGGTAACAGAGTTAGATGCAGAGGTAGGCCTAGGATGGGCCCCTCCTGATTCTAAGGACAGTCTTCACCACACTCTGTCTTGATACCTCTGGCCTATCACAATGGACAAAGGCAGATAAACACAAGGACATGGACAAGCCAAAAGAAAATACATTTCCCAACATTAAAGCCTAAGAAAAGCATCCAGGGATGAGACAGGACACATGGACATACATACATGGTGTTCTCTACAAAGGTAAAGTATACCCAAAACACAGTAGTCAAGAATACTGGAAGGGACTCCAGGGTCCTTATGTCTTTCCTAAGATAGCCCCTCCAAATCCTTTCTCAGAACTCGGCAGCAGGCCTTACCTCAGATCCAAGGCCACCAAGAAGAAGCCATGTTTACCCTCAATGACACCCATGCAAGGAATACTAAGAGAATCTTTCAGATGTATGACACAAGAAAAGATTGCCAAAAATCTTGTTCTCACTTACCTCATTGTTTTATTTTTAGGAGTTTTGAGAGCAAAATGATGACACCCAGAAATTCAATGAGTGGGACTTTCCCAGCAGAGCCTATAAAAGGCCCCATTGCCATGCAACCTCTTCAAAAAGCAATCCCCAGGAGGATGTCTTCACTGGTGGGCCCCACACAAAGCTTCTTCATAAGGGAATCTAAGGCTTTGGGGGTAAGTCACCTTTTGGTTTGGGGGCTTGTGTGTTTAGGGCTCTCCCATCCCAGTTCACAGCCAGAATCTCAGGCACACCTGCTCCTTGGAAATGTCCCATGTAGTGGGGAAAATGGATCTGAGCAAGAAAAAGACAAAATGTTTGGCACTTCCGCTGCTGCATTTAGGCATTTTGCGAGTCAGGAGCCAGGACTTCCAGCCTTACCTTTGCTTTCCAACAATGATGATTTCAGTTCATCCATCAATGCCCCTTGTTCTCTCCCCAGGCAGTCCAGATCATGAATGGGCTCTTCCATATTGCCCTGGGGGGTCTCTTGATGATCCCCATGGGGGGCTATGCACCCATCTGTGTGACTGTGTGGTACCCTCTCTGGGGAGGCATTCTGGTGAGTAAAAAATAACAACAATTTGGGGAATGGTACAGACAAAAACATTAAAAATATCCACAGGGATATGTCAGATTATTTCTGAGTTGCAGAAAATATATGGATAGGAAATACGTCATTGTGTTACAATAATTAAGTGGGAAGAGTGGTTGATTGATTTGAGCATGTTGAGAGTCGGTGGCCATGCTTCATTTGGGGAACAATGTTCTGCATGGATCTACACAGGGATTGTTCAAAGCAGGACCTCACCAGAGTCGATTTTGGTACAGACAGAGGCACTAGACATTTGGCATGGCATTTTGGAAAGCCAAACGCAACACGAGCATCCCCCTTCCTCCCATCTGCTCCTTCTTCCCTACAGTTCTGTTCAGTTACTATGGCACCTGGTGAAATTAGTCCCATCCCAAATAACTCTCCTTTTGCTTATCAGCAGAGCAGCACTGCTCTTGGCTCCTTTGTGTATGTGTTTTTCAAACGTGTAACCCTGCCTGGGTGTGTCATGGGGCAGTGATGTTTATTTCCCCATGACACTATTCATAGTTGCCACTATAAAGATGGGTCCAGGATTAAAATTTTCAGAACAAGGAAAGATGGGTTACAGCAAGGATTTCTTCCATTTTATAGCCTGAACATTAGAAACGATGAAAAATAATCATCGTTTCCTTTAGCAGCCAATATTTTAATGCAGCCCCTATACCATTCAAGACAGATATTTCTTTATATAGTGAATTACTCTTCATTGGCATCGAAGTAATTTAAATCATGTGAACCCCAAACTACATTTCCACAAATTTAAACAAAAACAAAAAATAAAACTTTTAAATTCATAGTGTAAATATTAACTGGCAAAGAAATGTGAGTTTTGTCTATTTCATCTTATTATAGTCCTAGTCACATCTCACCAGAGGGTTGAATAGCAGTCATGGATTGAATGTAGTTGAACCTGAATAAAGGAGAAATATGATGGCAGAAAGACAAATAAACCTCATAAAAATGGGTGGATAGTTTACTGCAAGTGGCTGAAAGTGCAGATGGCTTCTTTACAACCGACTCTTGATGTTTAAAAAATGATCTCTTTCTCACCCTTTGCTCCTACTGTCCCCCCACCCCCAACTCTCTTTTTACAGTATATTATTTCTGGATCACTCCTGGCAGCAGCAGAAAAACACTCCAGGAAGGGTTTGGCAAGTAACCGTATGTCCTTCTTTCCCACACATCAGAGAAATATCTATTTACTCAGTTGAAAACAGGGACCTTTAAAGGAGCCTTGGAATCACAGACTCTCAACCCTAAAAAGCAAAAGATCTTTCACAAGGCTGTTGAGAATTTATTCGTGAAAAACTTGGAAATGAGATCTACCTGAAGTATGTCCATGGAAACAGAACTTCAGGCAGATCTATGAAGAACATACCCACAGTCTTGTGAATGTCAAATGTTGTGTGAAGATAGTAGACCTGTTTGAAAGCTATGTCATTTCTCCCAGACCATCATTTAGGAAAATTACCTGATCAATGTTGTGATTGATTCAAGTTGTAGCTAAGTTAGAAACTTAAGCTGTAATCTTGATGGAGTAAGATTACCTCTACACACTTCTGAGTTTTCGTCTATAAAATAGAGGTAATAGTCCTTGCTGCATATGAAATCAGCATAAGGCTGACATGGGATAATACATGTGACAGTGTTTCAGAGGCTATAAGAGCTACAGTGTGGTCTTGTTCATATAACTCCTAAGGACTCATTTACACCGAGGAAGATGCTACCCTACAGAGCTCCCGATTCTGCATGGGTAAAGAAAAGCTTACCAGCAAATTTCCTCCCAAGAAAACCCTGCCCCAGCACTTTTTTATTTACTAAATTGAGTCACTTTTAAGTCCATAAGGAACTGAGTGAATTGAGATGGTTTCTCTCTAAAAGTGGCCTGACAAACTCAGTTTTTTTGGGGGGGAAGTATTTATGAAAATCAAATTACTCTATTCTCCAAATGTAGCCAGACCTACTGACCTTCCATATGTAGGTCAGATAGCCCAGCATGAAATATTTGTGTCATAAAATAATCATCAGTAATCTCATACCATTATGGTACTGTCAC